GTGTGATGTATAAAGTATGCATACTTAGGTTTAAAAATAATTACACCTAAATAGAATAATTTGGATAATATTATTTAATTTCTTTATCCAAGCTTCCTGACAATCTTCAGGTGAACATGGCCCATTTTCTTTACTGCGAGCAGTTGATACTACTCGTAGCTCCTTCTCGTAACCTGCATGTGAGTTATATTATTCTAAGATTCTATGTTCTTATCTAATTTGGCAATGGCTATACCTACATTCGAATAAAAATAAACCTTTTATAAATAACGTTTTTTACAGAAATAACGAATTTACGGAGTTAAACAAAAGATTCCTTTTTTTAATCATAATGATAAGTAGTTAGTATTATAATGTATACTTGTATATTTTAAATTTATATTTCTTGTAATTAGATTACTCGTAGGCAATATAGCGTACGAGTCTCGTGAACTTTGGGTCTATCACCGATTAATTCACGACTATTACAGAGCGCATTACAAGTTTCCGGAACTGGCCACTTACATAGACAATATTTAAAAAGTAATTACAACATTTGAAAATGGAACTCTTTGGCTGTAGAATACAGTTTGTTTCATCTGACTGTCACTTGCTTTTACATCGTGGCGTCATTTTAGAAATTGGTTGTCTACATCACCGTGGATTTAACTCGTGAAAATTTTCGTAGTATGATTTTCTACAACTTTAAGGGTCGTATTCTAGAACTCTACTCAATGCTCAAGTCAGGATTTGAGTATGGTTTAAAGCACTCGAAATCATACTCAAGTCCCTGCCATTAACTACCTCCGTGGCCGAACGGTTACCATGCCGGACTGCCACGCAGAGGTCCCAGGTTCGATTCCCGGGCCGGGAGAAATATTTGTATGGCCTACATGTATTTCTTTCGTGAGTTTGGGTGTAATTTGTGGTTGTCTATGTGTGTGTCCATGGCACCCGCGACACAGGGTTTCCCTAGTGCGGGGCTATGTCGAGTGTATGCGTTATTAGGGTCGTATTTCCAATGCTTGAAATCATACTTAGATCCTGACTTGAGCATTGAGTAGAGTTCTGGAATACGACTCTCAGTGTAATTGAACAGCTCAGCGGAGCTTCGCTCGACTTCAAACTGCTTTTGGCGATGAAGCACCATGCAAGACGACTATTTATAGCTGGTTTGCAGAATTCAAACGCGGTCGTGTGAATCTCAATGACGTATTTCGTGATGGTCGCCCGTCCACTGCTGTGAACAACAAAAACATCGATGCTGCGCTCCGTATGATCAAAACAAACAGGCATGTGACATACCATGAGTTTTGGCCGTCTTTAGGCATAGGCATGAGTCGAATACAATTAATACTACACAAACATTTGAGTGTGAAAAAGCTGTGTTCTCGGTGGATCCCACACAATTTGACTGAGGCTCAAAAAACGGATCGCATCACTTGGTGCCATGCCATGCTTACCAGATTCAACGAAGGGGCGTCATATTTGGTGTGGGACATAGTAATAGGTGATGAAACATAGGTTTATAGTTACGATCCCAAAACAAAGCAGCAATCGAGCGTATGGGTCTTTCGAGTTGAACCGAAACCAACCAAAGCGGCACGCGTGCATAGCCTCTAAGTGGATGATTGCTTCTTTTTTTAATAAACTGGGCGTGTGGCTACTGTTGCTTTGGAGAATCGTCGTACCGTGAATAGTGCACGTAGAATAGTTGGTGCTCGACCATTTGTTTGCCGGAAGTTATTGACAAACTCCGTAAAAATAACCGTAAACGCCTTATTATCTTGCGCCACGATAATGCCAGTTCTGACAAATGAATTTTTGAAGGTGAACAACGTTGACCTTATGAGCTATCCCGCGTACAGTCCCGACCTGGCATCTTGTGACTTTTATTTATTTCCAACAATTAAGAACCAATTACGCGGTCAACCATTTTCATCACCTGAAGAGGTTGTCGAAGAGCATGAAAAATACGTTTCAAAGATTGTCACGGAGGAGTGGCAGAAATGTTTTCAAAACTGGTTCATTCGTATGAAAAAGTGCATTAACGCTAACGGAGACTATTTTGAGAAACAATAAATTCATTTCTAACCATTTATAGTATTTTTTTATTATTCATTCCGGGAACTTATAGTGGGCCCACGCACACGAGGAAGGCTGCACTTAGTGTTTGGTCATGGAAAAATTTCCATTCAAGAACATCATTTTTTTCTGAATATTTTTCCGGTATTTTTCCACATCTGACACCAGTCAAAAGTTGAAGTTACTGTACGAAAACGATGGAGTCATTTCATAGGTTTCTTTCGTTGTTGTCCAATCACATCAAGTCTCGTTTTCCTGTAACTTGCTTTTCGCCATACTTTATTTTATAATTCACGCTTGATAAAACTTCATAAGATAGAAATATCTTAAACTTAAACGAAGAACATAATATGAGCCTTCGAATAATAGTTTTCCAATATTTTTCAATTTAAATGATTATCACTAATATCAGGTTTCTTACCACGGTACGACTTCTTTTTATTATCGGGAAATAAAATATCTATATAATATTTTAATATCGGGATAATAAAAAGAAGTCATACCGTGGTAAGAAATCTGATATTAGTGATAATCATTTAGTGAATAACCACGAAATTCTTCAAATCTATTTTTCAATTTTACCAATGTCTCAGAAATGTTACCGGAAAAGTTTGGACTACCTATTAGAAATTTTTCGGAAACTTACCCAACAGTAGATGCACAACACAGTTGTGGCTTTGAATCGCCGGTTCACCCACCTTCTGCCTTACGAATGAGCGGTAAAGTGTAATCAGTATGAAATAAAAATTATTTGACTTTGAATTATTCCTGAATTTGGGAATAAGAGAAATAAATTTAGTATAAGTTTCGGTGGCGCTTTTGACTCATTGTGAGGGCAATTTTTTTCGATGGTATACATAAGTTAATTTCTAGATAAAAAAAATATACTGAGCTCCAAAGCTCCAAATACATTAAAAAGAAACTTAGTGTCATTGTTTTATTTTATTTACAAGCCTTTCATTGTCGCGGACTTTTGGACCCATGAAGTGAGTACCGCGAGTTATGCAAAAAATTAAAGTTTATTAAAACGGCCCTTTGAAAATGTTTGAACCGTTCCTATTTACTTATCGCAGTCTACAAAGGCGCTGGAAACGCATAAATAAACATACCTACTGTGTCCGCAACAAGTAGAGCGGTAAGAAATGATGTTGCGGCAGTTATAGTGAAATTGAACCAGGGAGTGAGGTGACCGGTCGAATAACGTACACAACACACCATGTGGTTGGGCAACGCCACACTTGGCTGCGCTCCTCCGTGGTGCGCGACCGCGCTGCGGGCGGCGGCGACGCAGTGGCGCAAGTGCGAGGATGTCTTTCTCTTCGACACCATGTGAAGCACCTCAACACAAACAGAACCTAACAGCCAACCACAGTAGCTATATCAGTATGGTAGCTCGTACAACTTGCAAGTCGATTAATACCTAGATCACGCTCCGAGGGGTAATAACGTATTGAGTTACCGTAGTTGAGACATGCGCTTGGCAGTGCAACCCATATGGTTTGAATGAAAACCGTTATCGAATGTTCCGATTTTGGCAGAAAATTCACAAAAACAGGCCATTTCTAGGTCGGGGCCGTACACGACGAAACTATCCACTGTGCCGATTTTAACATTCGTAGTTTGGAAATAAAACTGTAGAAAAGTTTACTAACTAATAATTAACTATTTTATTATATATACACCAGTGTTGGGCGTTAATCAATTGAATTTCAATCAGAAATTCAATCAAATTAAAAAATCAATTCAATTGAAATCAATTACTATTAAAAATCAATTGCAATTAAATCAATTGCGACACGTCGCATTGATTTAATTGCTATTGTTTTTTTATTTTGATTTCAATTGAATTGATTTGAATTGCAATTAAATTCATTGCAATTAATTTATTGAATTGTTCTAACAAACAATTGAAACTAACAATTAAAACAAAAACTACCAAATAAAAGTGTCATTACGAATACGGGTTAGGGGTATGTTAGGGGTCGGTTAGGGGTTCGGTTAGGGGTTCGGTTGGGGGCTCGGTTGGGGGGTCGGTTAGGGGGCCGGTTAGGGGATCTGTTGGGGTCGGTTGGGGATCTTAGTGGTTAAAATATATTTTACAATTTTTGAATATGGCCGCCATTAAAGAGCTATTTTCATTTTTTTAAAGCAAAGTCACGAGTGCCGAGGCCGTAGGCCGAGGTAATACGACTCGAATACGATCGTACGGAGGTAATACGACTATACGGAGGTGTAACAAATTACGAGTACAAGATTTCACAATTGTAACAATCTAAGACAAACTTCTCAATGTAGTGGAAATGAGATACTTATAATAGTGTTGTTGTACCTCCGCCCTCTCTCTGTTAGATTACTTTTTTCTTTTTGGAAGCCATGCCAAAACAAGTATTTAGGGGGTAAAAACTGGCAAACTTCTGCCGAATTTCCTGTACTATGAATACTAGAACAACGATAACTCTGAAGGCGATACCCAGAATACTCAGACCAAAACCAACTTAGAAATGTTCGTTTCTTAAATTGGCCCAAATCGGGAATCGACCTTCCTCATCAACCACTCATAGTACTAACCGCTGTGCCACCGAAGAGCATGAGCACTCCCTGTAATCTGAACCACTCGCCGCAGGCCGAGCCCGACCCGACCCGAGTAAAGGTCTCGTTAATATACATAATAGCAAAAATCTCGTATTAAATATAAATTTCATGACTTTCGTTATTCCCTAAATGAGTCTCACTATCGGCCGAGCTAGTCTTAGTGATCACAAAGTACCAAACGTTTAACCAGGAAGATGGATTTAATCTATCCAGTGCGTAGAATCCGGTGCTTAGTGCTCACAATTATTATTAATATTATTATTTATTTTAAACTCTCGCCTCCCCCAAGGCCTAAAAGATTAATTTTTATTTTTTAAATGGGAGAGGCGGTATTTCCCGGCAATGGCACAGTTGGGACTCAGGTCCAAGAATCGGCGAACAATACGTGCCGTATCGAGCAGGACCGCCTTCTGCATTATTATTATTATTAGGGTGGCTTCATCCAGGGCCTATGCATCCCATCATCACTGCGACTATTGACTGATCTATTGTGATCGCCACTAATTACAGTGCAGAGCCAAGGCCGACAGCAATGAAAAACGGACTTTCCTGGCTCCGACAGATTTAATGTCCTCTAGTTGTGGCATGTGCCTTCTCAGGACGGAACTTCGTACGCCCATCAGGGGGCAGCACTGGGTGAGTAGATGAACAGGAGTTTCATCCTCCGTGTGGCAAAATCTACATTCTTTATTTTCTCTCTGCCCAATATTTGACATGTGCTTGTTTAAGCCATAATGCCCTGTTAAGGCTCTAGTGAGCATTCTTATGCCATTCGTGTCCAATGACAGAGCTTCTCTACAGTGTTTGGCACTGTAGGCAGATATCAGGGCTTTTGAATGCACAAGACTCTTGTTCAGTAGCCACACTTCTGGGGAGAGGTGTGTGCTCTCATTTAGCAGGGTGAGCTTTGCCAGGCTGCATGCTATCCCTATGAAGGGTTCGGGTCCAATAAAGGTTTCCCTAGCAGCAGTCTTTGCCAGTTCATCCGCTGACTCATTATCCTCGATGTCAGAGTGGCCTGGAACCCAGCGCAGTACCACTGTATTACTTTCTCCGAGAGTGTTCAGTATATTTACACAGTTCTCTACAATCCACGATGTTTGGGTGACTGAGGCTAGTGCATGTAGAGCCGCTTGACTATCTGAGTTTATGTAAATGTGCTTGTCAACGTAGCCTCTCTTCAGGTTCAAATCCGCACAAGTAATTATGGCGTACACTTCGGCCTGAAAGATAGAGGAGTGTCGTCCCATGTTCAGCTTGTAGCTGAGCCTGGGTCTCACACCGTGTATACCACAGCCTACGTTGGGTCCCATCTTAGACCCATCGGTATACCATAGAAGGCTGCCGTTCTTCCAGGTGAGGCTGTTAGTTTCCCAGTCCTCCCTAGTAGGAAATTCTACCTGGTAGAGTTTTTTTAAAGTTTTATTTGGGAAGCATGACATCAGAAGTCATTCCCAGAACATAGTGTTCCAGAATTGTGTTTTGGGCTGATCTCAATGTCTGGGAGAGCCATCTACTCCCTAACCTAGTGGTAAGCCTGTACATGCTGGAACTGGCCTCCGTCTGTATGAATAAATGCAGAGGAGTGAGGTTCAGCAATGCATTTAGGGCTGCCCCAGGTGTGGTGGACATGGCTCCCGTTGCTAGACGACACGCGACGCGCTGTAGACTGCCCAAAGTGACAATTGTGATTGTTTGGCTGACTTTAGCACTCCAAGCAACAGAGGCGTAAGTCACTATGGGCCTCACAATTGCCTTATATACCCAGAGCGTCATTTTTGGTTTTAGACCCCAACGCTATCCCGCCATACGGGTACAGATACCTAAGGCCATCTTGGCCTTGTTGATCGTGTTAGTTATATGGTGGTTCCACCTTAGGGTTTGATCTAGAGTTATCCCTAAATATTTGACTTCTGCGGAAAAGCTCACAGTCCTGCCACCAAGAATTGGTTCCACTAGTTTGTCTAGTTTCCGTCTCCAGGTGAAGAGAACAATGGTTGTCTTTTCCGCATTGATTGATAATTCGTTATCTTGACACCACGCGGAAATGGTGTCAAGTGCTCCTTGCATAAGTGATGATATAGTACTTTGGCAGTGCCCTCGAATTGTGATCACCAGGTCATCAGCATATCCCTGAGCGTCAATCTGATCCACAGCAAGAGTCCACAGGAGAGGAGAAATGACTCCACCTTGCGGGTAACCCCTTACTGTGGAGGCTACAAGTCGGTCCCCATGTAACGAGATACTGGCCCTGCGGCTTAAAAGCATGTTCTGTACCCATCTCGTGGTTGAAGTGTCCACACCTTTGCAGGTTAGGCCCTTCACCAGAGTATGGATGGGTGTATTGCCAAATGCACCCTCAATGTCTAGAAAGGCACACAGTGCTATTTGTTTGTCCTCAAACGCTCTTTCAACCCTGTCCACAAGGTGGAGCAAAGCTGTCTCTGTGGACTTTCCATTCTGATAGGCATGTTGAGTGTGATGGATAGGACTACATATTAAGGACGAAGCCCTAATGTGATTGTCAAGTACCTTCTCCATTGCCTTAAGCAAAAATGAGGTTAGGCAGATGGGTCTACAGGACTTAGCAAGAGAGTAGTCCTTTCTGCCTACCTTCGGTATAAATACAATTTTACACATTGTCCATTGCATGGGTATGTGTCCCCAAGCAAGACTGGCTCTGTATATTTTGACCAGGTATGGCAAGAGTACACTTATGCCTTGCTGCAGCAACATGGGAATAATACTGTCCTCACCAGGGGATTTATACTATTTAAACGAGCTTATGGCCCAAGCCACTAGTCGGGGCAGTACTTACAATAATAAAAACAAAAACGCTTCAGCTTGAGATTCGCGTGTGCATACAAAAAGTGAATGACAATGGCAACGCACTAGTAATCGAGATGAAGGTAGTTGTCGACAGCGAAAGAGGGTTTGTTTTTAGAGCCGTCATCTGCCAGTCAACCCGTGACCATGGCGCTTGTAACCGTTCAGAAAAATCGGGAAAGCAAAAAGAATTCAGCCCATGTTAACATAGTATGAACGGAGATTAGGTACGAACCTCCATGACGGCGGCAGTGCGTTTCGTGGGGTGGAGCGCCCCTCTGGTGTTGACGGATCACTTGCCGCGACCACTGCCTGGGACGACTGCGCCTCGCGACTGCTATTTGCAATGTACAAATGAACACAAGATATTTTGTCTATCTCAATAGCACTACGCTGAATTTGAGGATTTGTGGAGTTTTGACATGAAAAATGGAGGGCAAGTAGGTAGGTGTATTATGTATATTTACAAAATATATTTACATATATCCATTATACTTATTTGTTACATTTACAAAATTAATTACGAGGGCGTGAGCTTATGTATGTTTGTAAGTAATTACAGCATCCTCCAGCAGCCAAGTAACTGCAAGGATTGAAAAAAATGCTGTTACAGGTGTTGCAATATGTGCAAAATGTGACTCAAAATACAAGTAATTGCGTTAAGTAGAATTTACTGTATGTGTTGTATACCAGTAAAATGTTTCAGTGCTGGTAACCGAAAATTGAACCGAAAAACACATTCATTATAGCTTAAATGCCAAATGTTCTGCATAATAGAAACTATTACTCACTCGATTTATTCACTAAACTCACAAATATTGCTATTTTCGATTCTAATCGACCCATAGTATCGAGACCCGAGTCGCCGTTGACGCCCCTGGGACGAGCCGCTCAGCGCTGGGCGACGCCGGCGGCCTCGGCGAACTGAGGCGTCAACGCCGCGCGCGCGTACGTTTTGCGAAACGTTGTCGTAAAAGTCCCAATATATTTCAACGCGATAAGAAGTTTTACTGGATTTTACACAAATAGGATTTCGGCACACGACGTCAGTACGCGTAGGGGACCAGCAGCGCGACGTCGTCGCAGCCGTCGTCGTCGTCGTCGAAGAGCGGCGGAGGCGCGGCGGCGGGCGGCGGCGGCAGCTCCAGGTCGCGCGACCAGAA